TTGGACTATATGAAGAAGAATGTGTCATCAGGATTGGAGGAACCTGCGGTATGCAGATGACACAACCTTGTGTGCTGAAACCAAAGAGGACTTGAAGCACTTACTGATGAAGGTCAAACACTATAGTCTTCAACATGCATTACACCTCAACTGATAGAGAAAACAAAAATCCTCACATTGAGATTATGCAACATCATGATAAATGGAGAAAACATTGAAACTGTCAAGGATTTTATTTTAGTTGGATTCACCATCAATGCCCATGGAAGTAGCACTCAAAAAAAATCATTGTTTTGCACTGAGCAAATCTGCTGCAAAAGACCTCTTTAAAGTGTTAAAAAGCAAAGATGTCATTTTGAGGACTAAGGTACGCCTGATCCAAGCCATGGTATTTTCAGCTGCCTTATATGCATGCGAAAGCTGCACAATGATCAAGGAAGACCGAAGAAGAATTGATGCATTTGAATCGTGGTGTTGGCAAAGAATGTTGAATATACCATGGATTTCCAGAAGAATGAACCAATCTGTCTTGTAAGAAGTACATCCAGTATGCTCCCTCAAAGCAAGGATGGGGAGATTTTGTCTCACGTACTTTGAACGTGTTATCAGGAGGGACCAGTCCCTGGAGAAGGACATCATGCTTCAGTGTAAAGTAGAGGGTAACCGAAAAAGAGGAAGCCCCTCAATGTGATGGACTGACACAGTGTCTCCAACAATGGGCACAAACACAGCAACAATTGTGAGGATGATACAGATTAGGTATAGATCAGGCAGTGTTTTGTTCTATTACATATACGCTTGCTGTGAGTCAGAACTGACTCAAAGGCACCTAACAACAACAACAACAAAAAATACATTTATATAATTTCTCTGGCACTGATACATGAAATCAAACACTAACCACATCTTACTTGGCACTGGGGTGAACAAAACATAGCTTTTTTTGTTTGTTTGTTTATTTAAACCTGTAGCACAGACTTCTTCAAGCTTTCACTCTAAAAAATGTTTGTAATTATTAAAATGATCTCCCTAAAAAGTAAGTATGACTGAGGAAACATTCATTGCTCACTTTGTGAATGTTTGTTTTACCCACAGTCATCTTCTGCAGTCTGCTTAGATAATGCAGAAAAGGTTAAAATGAGGCAGTCCCCGATGAACCAGTGCAGCAGTGAAGAGTTCCAAGGCAACCAAGAGATTTGTCTACGTAGCAAAAACATCCTAATAAAAGGGGCTCATAGCATTCCCCTAGATGAAGGCTACATGCAAAGCTCTTTCTTCCGTGTTTGTTAACAGCACACATCATAATTAGAGCTTAATGCCTTTATATAAGGTCTCTGACCCCAAGTATCATTCGTCTTTCTAAAGCCTCATACTTTGGGAAACACAGTATATTGAATGGCAGCCCCAGCTTTTCTTAGAGTTAATCTAAATCCCAACATGCACTTTTTCTCTTTCTGAAAAAGCACTATTTCAGACTCTAGAAACTGATCTCTCAGGAATCATTTGGTGGTTAAATTTTCTTTCTTCTTCAAATTTTAAGAACAAAGAACCAAAGCCTTAAAACATAAGAATAAAAATTTTAAACCATGGAAATAACCCTTTTCCACAGCTTTTATTACTGTAAGTTTCCTGACCTGAAAAGCAGTAACATTCCCAAAGTCTTCTCCTATTATTATACTCTAAAATGAAAAACAATGTCTGATCTACTTTTGTTGCTAACTTTCATTGATCCTTCTAGAAAACGTTTTCTCAAAAACTGAAAATGTTTTCAACCTTACTTTGTCTGACATTCTCTTAGGGTCTTTTTAAGAATTTGCTTTATGGCTGTATCCATAAAAAAGACTTGAGGGTGTTCATAACACATTCTGAAGTCTGAAAGCTAACGTGCTCTGCAATCAGAGGATGGAGACAACTCGATTTCAAACTCCAATCAGATTCAGCCCTGAAGACTTCTGGCATTAACAGTGAACACTTTGCAGTACAGAAACCATCAACTGAAATTGTTTGTAATTACTGTGATCAGAAGTTCAGTTTATTGATTATCTAGTTATTAACAGGTACCTGTATTCCTCAACTCTTAGGTCTTCTTCCTCACCTTCCCCTTCTTGTCACAGTGTAACTCCTTGTAGAGAGACAGTCTGCGATGCTTACTAAGCAGTGAAATCTACTCAGTTTCTTGAGAAGAAACCGGGGTAAATTTTCTCTCTCCCTATGACACGTAAAGTAGCATAAGTTTATCTTATTTTTCCACCCATTCAAAGTTATATTTCGAGTCCAAGGCCATGTTAAATAATTACTCCAATGGAATTATAAGAGAAAAGAAGGTTAAAATGTATTAATGCTTTCTAAGGAAAAAGGTATTTGAGGAAACAAAACTAACAAAAGGGAAAAACCCTCAAGTTCTAGGAGAAACTACTTTAAGATTGGTCTGACCAGGCATTTCTTTGGTCTAACCCTGAAAAAGTATAAATTACACACATCCTCACACTTTCAAAATATGCCAAAGAATTATTTATTAACACAGGACTTACAGATCACAAAAGAGAGGGGTACAGAAGGGCTGGAAGGGAAGTCATCAGAGTAAGCATGCAGCTCAGCGCTTGCAGAGGGACACAGGAAAGCGAGTTTGAAAAGGCACATTCACACAGAAAAATGTCTAAATTGAAGAAAGGACATCAGAAGGCAGCCGAAATCAATCAATCAATCAATAAGGCGCTGATTAAAATACAAAGATTTTCAATGTCCAAGAAGAGCTACTTTACAGGTAGGCAGGTAGGTGGGTGGCTACAGAAGTCTTGCTAACCCTTTGAGAATGTCACAAATGAGAGGTAAGCGCTTGCTGCCCACAAAACCAGGTGATTTTAATGATCGCACATCAAGATGCTTCAGTGCCAGAGAGATTAAATTTGGAGGGGGGCAGAAGCAGCCGAGTTGAAATTACTGCAGCAAGGGCTCAAAGGGTTAAATGTAATACTATGCAGAGAAATCAGGCAACGTTATTAGTATCATCTACCTTCCATACAAAGAATTTTAGCAAGTGTTAAAAGAGACAGTATCCCCTTCAGAGTTAAGTTAGGGTTTCTAAACAGAATTACCAGGTTTTAGTCTCTCTTCATAGCCCACATATGTCTCTAACACGAAGTACCTTTAACCCTCAAACTAAGAGAGCAAGAGATACTGTGGTGAACATAAGGATAAAGTAAAACCAAATCGCATTGAAGACGTCCCTGCCATGTACTTTCTACAATACATTGATGCAGCAATTTTGCTCAACAATATAGCTTATCGGCCAGACATCAACCCCTTCAACAACCGCTCTAAAGGGATACTGCTCCTTTCCAACATAAGGTTTACAGATCAAAGGAGGAAACAATCTGCATTTAAGAATATCCTCAAACTGAAGAGACTTGGCTTGAATATTACAGGTTCAAAGCTTGGAATGTCCCAAACATACATAAAAGAACACGGGCACAGAAGATTATTTTAACAGGTCAATCAGAACAAGCGCAGTCACGAAACCCAACCTCCCCTCCCCAAATAAAAGTAAAAAGAAAGTACACCCCAAATATGGATTAGACTTTATAAGGACATCTAACTTGGCACTGTGAAAGAATATAGATACATGTTCAGAAAAATAGCCTCTAATTAACAACTTTGGCGTCCAAAATGGCTAGTACACTTGTTAGGAAAATTTTTAAAGGAAATGCAAATACTGTTATTAGAAAGTGGAGCACTGCAACCAATTGTTGTGGCTCAAGTGGCTCATCCCAAACCAAAGCAAACCAAACAACAACAACCAAAACAGAAAAACATCTGAGAAAAGTACAAAAAAAAAGGGAAGTCGCTAGTCAAGGGCACAAGCGGCTCTCGCCACAGCCCACTGTACTTGCAAAACACTTCAGCAAGTAGCAACGTGAGACGTGTGTTGTCTCGACTAACTCGCCCCTGATTCAGCACCCTGTTTAAGAATACTTCTAACCTTTCAACAGCCAAAGGATGGACGCAATTTTGCTTTTTGACTTACCAATTTGATATGTGCAAATGCTTTCATATTTTACAATTTCTGCCTAAGTCCGTAAACTTACAAGTGTCTTAGGTGTCCTTCTCTCATTCTTCCCCCAAAAAACCTTCATATGCATAATACATTTCAAGAATAATACAGTAATGATGAGACAGTCCTCATTATTAAAGGCCACAAAAGAGGTTTAGGTCTCTATATACGTATCAAGAAACAAAACAAAAATAACTAGGACACTTGGGAATCTAGTTTTTATAACAGGAAGTTGGACTACAGAATAAACTGCTACATATAAATCCACACAGAATTTAAATAGGGCTCCCTAACAAGATGTTTTTAGTCAGTTTTTAAATATTTTATCAGAAAGTTAGTAGTTACCTACTCTAGCATCTAGAGATTTGCTACAACTTAATACTTCCATTAATAGAGTTAAGACTAAAAACAGTACCCGAATTCCACTGACAATAACAATACATGTCCTCCTTCTTGCCAGACCCTGACGTACAGGACACCCATGTACAAGCTCTTTTCCTTTTCTCTTGAAGGGACATGGCAACTGCAGTACTTTCTTGGCATAACAAGAGTCAGTTTTGTAAACCAAACAGACTACTATCCTGGCAGCTGCCAAATAAACCCAAGAGGAAAAAAGGAGAGGGAAACACTGATCTCACTCACAGTAATGGAGAAACATTGCTGACACTGCAAAAGTCTTTATAAAATTTCTAGCAATGTGGATTCATTTTACCAGTAGGTTTTTATGTGCCTGTTAGATTTCAAAAATAAGAATATCTTAGCTCTCCATTCTAAGTTGCCATAGAATCAAATTTAACACTGTTTTAAGGGGACCGGCAACAAAGAGATTAACTATTAGAAAGTCATAAAGGTAAACGGCCTAAGCCTCACTATTCAGTCAAGTGACACCCACAGAATCATCTCTGAAATCTACATCACCATCACCAGAGCAATCTCACCAATTCCTCACCTGCAGCAGGAGGATGCTGGCCACTAACTGTTGGCAAATCCAAAGAGCTATCAGACATGACATGTTTAAGATCGCCTCCCACATCAGCCAGTTTCATGTCAAACTGAACAGAGAGTGCATCTTCAGAGTCCTCCTTGCCAACACTGCTGCCACCAATGGATGGGAGATCCAAGGACTTCACTGAAGCCGAGTCTTCTTTGGTGTGTCTGAAGGCCACTGCTTTTTCTCCAAAGGATTTGTCTGAGTTCATGGAAGAAAATTTGTTGGAGTGGAAGTCAGCAAAATCCTCATCACTTTTTCCTGAAGGAGTGACCTCTTTGAGTTCTTCAACACCTGATCCAGAGCCTTCCAGAGAAAGCTGCTTGAAGACATCATACTTGGTAGATGCAGCTGCTGTGTTCTGTCCACTCTTCACTGTGCTGCCTGCATTGCTGGTGAGAGGAACAGGACCAGCTTCCTCCTTCAGGGCGTATCTGTCATCTGCCTTTTGCTCAGATGAAACTGCACTATTACTGAAAGCCATAAAATCTGCAAAGTCATCCTGCTCCCCAACAGATGCTGGACTAGAATATCCCCCAAAAAGGTTGAATTCGCCAAAATCATCAGCCAAACTAGAAGTTTTGGTCGATGCCAATCCTGTTGTAGTTGCAGCAGAATCAGCTGGCGGTGGTCGTGTGGAAACGGATTTTGATGCGTTAAATGCAGCTGAAAAAGATACTGGTTTCTCGCTGCTGCAATTAACTGAGGAAAACATATCTAGGTCTGCTAAGTTCAGAGGATTTTTCACTTGTGTTTGTTGTTTCTGTTGTACAGGTCCTGAGGGGAACGGCGCCAGGAAAGTTTTATCTTTTGTTGGAGGTTCTAGTGGTGATATGCTATCGGCTGTTTTAAAATCGGTAAAACCATCATCAGTTCCTGTACATCTGAATTCTGCGAAGCTTTCTCCTGAAAGAAAAAAGCACAGCCAAATAAAAAAGAATGTTGCACTGAAAACCACATTATGAACATCATGTTAAATTACAAGCATAATTTTATAGACTTTTCTCTGTTGGCTTGAGATTATTTAACCACAGTTTAAAACCCATCAAATCCCTCTGGAAAGCACCGATTTGTTTCCACATCAAAGTCTAATGAGAGGAAGAAATAAAAATCAAACCGAGAACACTGAACAGTACTATTTTCATTTGCTCATGTTGTCAGTAGACCAAAAGCATATACGGAACATTTTCTCTCTATGGCTAGCCACCCAAGCAGACAGTAAGAATAAGAGCAAAGAACATAGTAAAAAATAGGTGCTAAAGAAAGAACAATGGCTCTCTAAAGATAAAGCCTATTACTCAAGCATCAATAAGAAAATAAAAAATTCAAGGTAGGTGTGAATTATTATGAGAACTAAATAGCATTGCACAACTCTTTGCTCAACTAAACACTTTAAGAATGTAATGAGATACTCTGTATCTTGTTCAATTATATGAAGGCATTCATTTGAAAGGAACTGTGATGAAAATATGCACTCTAGTGGTGCAAGAGTTAAAGCATTCAGCTGCTAACCAAAAGGTCAGCGGTTTGAACCCACCAGCCTCTCCACTGGAAAAAGATGAGGCAGTCTGCTTCTGCAAAGATTTACAGCCTTGGAAACCCGATGGGGCAGTTCTACTCTGTCCTGTAGGGTCACTATGAATTGCAATCAACTCAGTGGCAGTGGGTTTGGTTTTGGTTCGGTGATTAAAATGTGGCTAAGAGCACATTTTCAAGCAGCTGGTTCCCCATAGCCTCCAACTGACATGCTGACTCTTACGGAAGAAGCTATGAGCATTTGGGCTTTTCTTGAAATCAGCAAGTTCACTGTACCTCTTATTTTTAAAATTCAGAGAGATGTGAATACACACCACCTCTATTACTCAAAATTTCAAAGGACACGATTAAGACTTCAGTTTACATTGTGCTACTCTGAGGATGGGGTTACTGACAGGATTTTTTACTTTTGGTTAGAGAGAATAGGTTCTAATGTACTTCTCATAAATATCTAAATAGGCTAGTTCACATGTTGCTACAAATCTGAGCCCAGGACCCTTAACTGAATTTCTACTCTTTATTTCACAGTAATAGTATCACTCATAGGTTTGATGTTAGGATGCAGATGATTTCAGTTTTGAATTGGTGCTTCAGGTGCTCCATAAAATCCACTAGCCTGTCCCAGATAATGAAAACAAGATATATACCAAACGTAGCTGTACCAACATCACTAATTACAAATACGCCTGTCATCTCTGGAAACTAAAACATTTGAATACAAGCTTTAACTTTCTCTCCCATTTTAATGAAAAAAAAAAAAAATCCTATTTCTTTCCTAATATGGGATATGAAAGTGTATGAACCATAAAAATATATTTAAAACCAAAATCTAATTCTTAAAATTGACATATAAAATAATGCAGACTTTAAAGACATTATGCTTGTAACATGATACATACTTTGACAGATCAAATGAAAAAAGCATGGAAAACAATGGGAGCTGAGTTTTCATCCCAAACTGAAGGACTCAGCCAATCTCCCAGCATGATTTATCAGTATGAAGAAATTAATTTAATATTATTAGGGAAATTTTAGAAAGAGAGGAACAGCATTTAGACATACCACTAGTAAAACTAAAGTCAATTTCACACATTGACAGGAGAAGCAGATATAAAACTTAAAAATCACCCTAGAATTTTAGGCACGTGTATCACTGATTATTTTTGTATTATTTCTGTAAATGAGAGGGTAAAAAGCAGTCAGTGTTAACACAGCCTAAATTTTTGATGTGCTACTTTGAAACCTCTGTGAAATTGACAAGTTTTGCTTTATTATTTTAAAAGAGAAATCACCACAACAAACTAAACTTACTGATGAATTGTAAACTCTTCCATCAGAAATGTAAGCTGGGTGAAAGGGTTAAAAAAATAATAAAACAGTGGGTTTACAAGTTTAAACACAAAAGGATTGTTTTCTTTTTTTTTGGCAAATAAATCAGCTGCAATCATTAGAAGCTTTGCATACCAGAAGGTACACTAAGTACATGATTTCATGCGTAGTTTTTCAGTGAATTTCTGAGTCGTCCTAAGTTTCCTTCTATAATTGTCACTTTTTAGACCTAAGAGTATCTCAAAAAAGAGCTATTTTGCTAAAACTTCAGTAAGAAGTGTCACTATTTTCTCATCTACCTTAGGTTACAGTTTAAACTATGGGAGTAGCAAAAGGAAATATTATTAAATTCTGTCATTTAATAACCTAAGCAACTCACAACTCTGAACACAATACTATAAGATTCTCCATAAATTCTAACCCTTATATACTTTAATGAGGTCAGGCCAACATGTTTTTAATGAGTGTATAAAACAGGGTATCACTCCACGAAAAGTTCTAAAACATATTCTCCTAAAACAAACAAAGTTGGTATCTTGGCTTAGGGGCCTTAGAAGTAAGTTAAGATAGGAATAAAGGCAAGCAAACAAAATGACAACAATGTGGGATTCTGTCAATAAAGGCATGACTAAAGCACTGCTGACTGGTAACACAATGGTTAAGTGCTTGGCTGCTAAGTTAAATGCTGGTGGTTCGAACCCACCAGCTGCTCCATTAAAAAGACATGGCAGTCTGCTTCTGTAAAAATTACAGCCTTGGAAACCCTATAGGGCACTTCTACACTGTCCTATAGGGTCACTGTGAGTAGGAACTGACTTGATGACAATGAGTCAAAAGTACTCTTAGGAGCCCTGGTGGAACATGATTAAGCACTCAGCTGCTAACTGAAAGGTTGGTGGTTCAAACCCACCCAGCAGAGCTCTGTGGGAGAAAGACCTGGCAATGTGCTCCCATAAAGATTCCAGTGTGGAAAGCCCTACGAGGTAGTTCGGTTCTGAGATCACTGTGAGTCAAAATCAACTCAGTAGCACCCAATAACAGTAACAACAAATACTGATCAGTTCCTGGCTGGTGCAAATGGTTAACATACACAGCTGCTAACTAAAAGCTTGGCAGTGCGAGTCCATCCAGAGGCAACTCAGAAGAAAGGCATGGCAATCTACTTCCAAAATATCAGTCACTGAAAACATGATGGAGCACAGTTCTGCTCTGACACACATGAGGCTGTCAAGCATCGGGGCCACCATGAGTCAGAACTGACTCAGCAGCAACTGTGAAAGTAGTGCTTACGTTTTGGTGGCACACATGTCTTGCCTCATGGTCTTTCACAGGAATAAAACACATCCCATATGATCATTAATGTCATACTACACAAAGAACCCTGATATTAAATCATGCTATTTCAAACTTGCCTGGCCAAAGAATTGATGAAAGAAAGCATTGTTGTTGTTGTTATGTGCCGTCAAGTCATCTTCGACTCATACCGACCTTATGCACAACAGAAGGAAACACTGCCCGGTCCTGTGTCAGCCTCACTATCCCTACCATACCTGAGCCCATCGCTGTAGCCACCGTGTCTATCCATCTCATTGAGGGCCTTCCCCTCTTTTGTTGACCTTCCACTTTACCAAGCATGACATCCTTTTCCAGAGAATGGTTCCTTCTGACAACATGACCAAAGTAGGTGAGAAGAAGTCTGGCCATTCTCGCTTCCAAGGAGCATTCCAGCTGCACTTCTTCCAGGACAGATCTGTTAGTCCTTTTAGCAGTCCACGGTACTTTCATCATTCTCTGCCAACACCACAACTCAAAAGCATCAACTCTTCTTCGATCTTCCTTATTCACTGTCCAGCTCTCATGTACATATGATGCAACTGAAAATACCATGACTTTGGTTAGGCACATCCTAGTCTTCAAGGAAATATCTTTGAAAGATATCTTTCAGTGCTTGAAAGAGGTCTTTTGCAGCAGATTTGCCCAATACAATACATCTTTTGATGTCTTGACTGCTGTTTCCATTGGCGTTGATTGTAGAACCAAGTAATATGAAGTCTTTGACAACTTCAGTCTTTCCTCCATCTGTCGTGATGCTGCTTATTGGTCCAGTTGTGAGGATTTTTGTTTTCTTTATGTTGAGGTGTAATCCATACTATAGACTGTAGTCTTTAATTTTCATCAGTGCCTAAGGCACTTGACTGCTAACTAGAAGTTTGGTGGTTCAAACCCACCAGCCACTCCTCGGAAGGAAGGTTGGGCAATCTACTTCCGTAGAGACACTGCCTCAGAAACCCCAGGAGGGGTCGCTATAAGTTGGAGATGACTGGACAGCACATAACAACAGTGCTTTAAGTCATCCTCACTTTCAGCAAGCTAAGTAAATGTCGTCTGCGTATTGCAGGTTGTTAATAAGCCTTCCTCTACTCCTGATGCCACGTTCTTCTCCACACAGTCCAGCTTCTCGGATTATTTGCCCAGCATACAAATTGAGTAAGTATGGTGAAAGGATACAACCAACTCATTCGCTTTCTAATTTTAAACCATGCGGTATCCCTCTGTTGTGTTCAAACGACAGCCTCGTGGTCTATGTACAGGTTCCTCATGAGTACAATTAAGTGTTCTGGAGTTCCCATTCTTCTCAAAATTATCTATAATTTGTTACAATCCACACAATTGAATGCTTTTGCATAGTCAATAAAACACAAGCAAATATCTTTCTGGTATTCTTTGCTTTCAGCCAAGATCCACCTGACACCAGCTATGATATCCCTCGCTCCATGTCGCCTTCTGAATCCAGCCTGCATTTCTGGAAGTTCTCTGTCAATATATTGCTGCAACTGTTTTTGAATTATCTTCAGTAAGATTTTACTTGCATGTAATATCAATGATATTGTTCAATACTTTCCACATTCTGTGGGATCACCTTTCTTTGGGATGGGTACAAGTATGGATCTCTTCCAGTCAGTTGGCCAGGTAGCTGTCTTCCAAATCTCTTGGCATAACTGAGAGCCTCCAGTGGAGCATCCATTTGTTGAATCATCTCA